ATTGTGCATTTTGGCAGCTGAGCATATCTGTTACTCATGCTCCTTTTAAAATAGAGGCACTGTGTTATATATTTGGAAAATTAGTTGTTTATTTCTCAGAATCAGATCAAGTATGGCACTAAATTAACAGTGAATTATCTGACTGAAATAAATCTAATGTGGTAGCCTGGGGCTGAGCTGCAAAAATAAATGTGAATGTTGCTTTGAACATTTTACTTTTCCTATAAGTAAACCAAGTGTTAAATTGTTGCTTCACATTGTAAACAGGATTTCTTTTGAAAAATGTAATAGACTTAAAAGGTGGATATCATTTGATAGGACTCATACAAGTAATGAAAATATTTAAAAGAACAATGTTTAAAATATTGTTTCAGTGAACTCAGTGGATCTTTTGGACAGTTCCAAATTATAGTTTTGAGAGATGGATTCTTCCCGATCAATAATAAAAACGTGTAATTTTGAGTCACAATACCTTATGAGAAAGTTTAAGTTTAAAGTTGTTTAAAATTAATCGTAACGTTTAAGGATGTGAAAATAAATACCTCTCTTTAAAAAGACATGCCATTAATTCAGAAAGGTTTTAGATAAGATAGTTTTCAGAAGTAGAGGACTTGATGTATAGATTTCTGGCATCTTTGTCATTTTATAGTCTTAGGCCAACTAATTTTTATTTCTTGTTTAAGAACAGAAAGTAAATTTACTATTTGAGTTAGTTTTTAGTGGTCTAAACATTTAGATTTTATATTGAGGGTTTGAGGTAGAATTATTATCACCTTTTTAGAGGCATTCCTGACTTCAGAGAACATTATCAGTTATTAAAGACTTTATCTCCAACAGTCTCATTCCCAAAAGTCCTAATCCTAAAGTTCTTCCCAATAGCCTGGCATCTTGGGAATTCTCAACCCTTGCATAATGTTATTTCAAACTCAGGGAATATACGATGGAAATTTAGTTTTATGTGTCCCAGAGATATTTAGTTCTCTTTGGAGGTTTTACTTGATAATAGTTATGCCCCAGAAAACCATCTTGTTTAACCAATGTGATAAGTTGACAATGTAGTTTTTCTCTCTGATTATAATGTACTCTGTGTAGTCAATACACTGGTACCATGTGAGTGTAATTTCCTCTTTTATTTTATCTCCAATGCACTGTATTATAAATAAACAGTTAAAAAAAACACCAAACAAATCTGTTGCATCTCCTTTTAAGATTGTACCACTGTAGACACTTGTTCTAGTAAAGTAGAATTGGGCGCATTTGATTGCATTTAAATTTTTCATGCTTCAGCAGTTTGGCTGGGAGCACAGTAAAGAAAAATCCCATGAGCGAGGATAGTTTAGAATAATAGAACTTGATTTTGTGTATTATAGCGGCAACATTTGTGCTGCTTTAGTTAGGGTTGTGTCAGCACTTCCATTATAAACCCCTGTTTTCAGGGGGTATAACTAGGAAGATATTTTTTTTAATACAAATTAAAAAAAACAATTCATTTGACTGATTTTTAAGTTATAATAGTGCACAAATAAAACAAAGTAAAGTCACATAAAATTGACCATTTTCACAAGGATTTTTATTTTCTTTTGCTTATTAGTTGTGTATGGCAGCAGCTACGGTAAGGTACTATTCTAATATGTACACTGGAGGAGGGTGAACATTTTTGTAAAGGAAAATTACTAATATGAGGATTAAAAAATAAGTCCAAGCATTTCACATGATATTTAAAAACATTAATTAACAAAGTATATTTTATAATTGAGTTTCTAAAGTAGAATAGCTATGGTGCAGTGTTTATCTAAGGATATCAACAAAAGTCAAGTGTCTTTTCAGTTTCTACAGTACAGTTTAGTTGGTCTAGTAAAATGTTTTAAAAGGGAAAGCTAAAGTAAAGAAAAGAAATGAATGAGAATATAATCAGTAAGTTAAAGGACTACATAATAAGTAATTGTGTAAAACTAAGTAAATCAAATTTAGTAATCACTAAATCTAAGATTTATTTAATAAACTTTGCTTTATAAATAATTTGAACATATTTTGCTTAAAAAAGTCTGAACCAAAATCATGTTTTAGGACAAAACAAAACAACAACAAAGTTAACAATAATAAAACTGAAGAAAGCCCAGTAATTTTATCAAAAGGAAATACCTTGCTAAAAGAACATAAATCATCTATTTCTCTACTAGTGACATGTTTCAGAACCATAATAAACCCATAATATTGAAATATGATATGGAAAAATATTATTGGGATAAAACATTGATTTCTTTGCTAAAGGGAAGGATTTTGAAGTTGAGTGGGCCTTCCTTGATTGTTAACTACTGTCATCCTTCCTTCTCCTATTTTTTCCCCTAACAATGGTGTGAACTGAGAATGAACAGTCAGGTTTAATATTGCTTTTTTTTGGCAGCCTATCTTTTATTTGCAACCTTGGTACACATTTGTATTTGTAGGTGCAAAATAAAAGACAAATTGTGTGATGCTGTAAATAGATAGCTTTCCTGAACGGTCACTGGAGGAATCACCAGAAGACTGTTGATGAAGTAGAGGTGAAGCCTTTCCTCACTAATTGTATTCAGCGTGTAATTTCTAAACTTCCCTCTGAATTTTGATTTTCAATTAACACTCCCCATTTGAAGATAATTTTCTATTTAATGTAATTGCAGGAAATAATTTATTGGGTGATTAAGACTGAGAACCCAGTCTTCCTTAAGAAAACACTCTAACAAACCAGCCTTTAAACTCAACTCATAGCTTTGGACAGATTTAGTCTATTTTTACAGCTGTACAGTTTTGTTTAATTAGGATTGTGAACTATTGTTCACTGATGCAGTTTACAGTTGAAACTATTCTTTAGAGATGTTTCATTTTGGATTTTATGTCATGACTAATTTATACTAAAGCAACAATCACAGATATTGCTGTTGGAAGGAGACAATTCACTTTATAATAGAGGTTTGTTGGGGAAGCTAATGTCACTTTGAGTTTTGGATTATGACTGTCATTTATATTTAACTGTTTTAAAAAACAGGGTAAGTGCGTTTTTTAAAAATGTGAATGACTCCATTTTTGTTTCTATCATCATCTTAACTCTGCATACACTCTTGTTGTTTGTGTCAAGCTCTTGAAAAACTTGCGAAACAGTTATACAGTAATTTGCATGGTTTTATTATATTTATGGGGCCAATAAAATGTACTCAATAGTAGTTTTTGTATACTAAGAAGCATCATTTGGCTATCATTTTCCAGAAGTGTATGTATATCTGTCCATTTGTTTGTACTGATGCAAATTGCTCAAGTATATATTTATCTGATCCTTTGATATAGCACTCTTTAGAACATTTAATTTCTTTTTCCTCAAAGAAAATATAGGAATTCTTCTGCACTTTTCCCCCCATTTTATTTTCTAGTATGAAGTCTAAAAGAATAAATTTTTATTATTTGTAGAATGATTATTATAAGTAGGTATCAGCACTTTAATATGTTTCAAAGCACTTCAAAAGCCTGTAATACTTTTATTTAGAACTGTGCATAATTAGATTAGCTGATCTTATATTAATTTTTTTCACTGTAGGATACTAAGTCTGAGCCCCCTCATTAATTGTGAGAAATTTAGCATTAGCTGTTAAATCCTATGTGAAACATGGGCTGCTACATAAAAACTACTGTTTAAATTGGAATTAACTTAATTATTTTTCTTTGCACTTGATATTTCCTTCACTGCAATATTCATGAAAGCATGTGACAGATTTGTAAATTTAACTGTTAATCTCAGATTTCTAGACCCTTTAATCAGTATTTATTTGTCTGTAGAAACAGTACTAGCAAGTTAATGATTTGCTAATTTGAAAAATGCTCATGTGGTTTCCTATGTTAACTGATTTGTGCATTTTTAAAAAAATGGTATGAAATCAATTAATGTTAAAGAGCAATTAAGGTAGAGATTTTATTCCTTTCATTACACAGCAGTTTTAGAGCTAGAGATACAATAAACTAAAAACAACATAAAGTTTTGTAGAAAAATTATTTCTTCTGTTAAGTTATAAATTTTTAGTGGTTTTATTACTACCTGTTTTGCTAGGAAATTCATCTTGATATAGAGATATTCTAAAAGTTTTGAAATTCTTATTGCATGTGAAACCACAGAATGGAGACCTCGTCATGTAGTGCAGTCTGCATTCATTTGTGGATAAATGAATGCTCAGTGTTGTTTTTGGAGGCTTAAGATATTATGCATAGTAGGCATTTTTATTTTTCATAGTAAATGCTTTAAATCATGTATGCATTTTCTAATAAAATAGATTTATCGTTATTTCAGTTACTCAGTTCAAATGCTACAAATTGCCTCAAGACTAATGTAACATTATGAGGCTTTCAATCAATAAGTCACATAAAAGTTAAGTTACGACAGTCAACACTTCTTGGAGGTTTGTCAGAAAGCTTCAGATTCGCACTAAGTAGGCCATAATGCAAGTTGTAAACTAAGCTAGATTGGTTTAAGATTATCATTATGGATTATTTACTCTAATTGTATTTTCCTATATAAACTTATTTTGTTCTTTGTAAACAAAAGAGATACTTGGATATTTTTGCTCTTAAGTCATCCTGCAAACTGGTTCCCTCGCCAGTTCAATCATTCCTTCTTTTCTTTGCTAGTAGTCATCTAATTTCTCCCCAGAAGGTTATAATTTAGTTGCAAAAACTAGGAGGACAAATACACAGGATGTATTCTGTAAAAAACTTACTGTATAAGAATATCATTTGTGGATCGGATAAGAGAGAAGATAAACAACTACTACCAGAAAGAAGTTTGCTGAATTAGATGCAAAGAGGGAGAGTGGGATAGATAAACCAAGAATTGTTTGTCGGTGGTTTAGAGTAGACAATAACTATATCCACAGTTAAATTACTTTCTTTTTTCCCTGAATTAGTCAAATTCAAGGAATGGCTTGTTTCTTTGTTGTTGACAGCCCTTTTCAGTCCAGGGTATTTTCCTTTTTTTGCAGAAGAATGTCTTCCAAGCAAGCCACCTCTCCATTTGCCTGTGCAGCTGATGGAGAGGAAACCATGACCCAGGATTTGACCTCAAGGGAAAAGGAAGAGGGCAATGATCAACATGTGGCCTCCCATCTGCCCCTGCACCCAATAATGCACAACAAACCTCACTCTGAGGAGCTCCCCACACTTGTCAGTACCGTTCAACAAGATGCTGACTGGGACAGCGTTCTGTCATCCCAGCAAAGAATGGTGAGCTTTTAGAAACTGGTTACTGCTACTACATGTGTCTTTTAGTATGTATATGTTTTAGGGAAACCTCAGAATATATGACTTTAGGGCTATTTGTGCTCATGTTAAGAGACAACCACCAGGTAGTATGTACATATAGTGGTACCTTGGTTCATGAATTTAATTTGTTCTCTAATTTTGAAAACGATGGCCATGTTTGTGTTTGTGCAGGAAAGATGGCCATGGCCATGTTTGCAAACAAAAGCGTTTATGAACTGAGGTACCATTGTGTGTGTGTATGTGTGTGTGTGTGTGTGTGTGTGTGTGTGTCTGAGTGTGTGTATACATATACTGCTAGTAAATTTGGGAAATGGTTTGTGATACAGTTTGTACCCATTATTAGATTAGCTTGTCAAAAAAAGATATTCGATTTTTTAAAGGAGAAGTTGTTTGGTTATTCTCTGAATTTCTGAATTTAAGATGATGGACTTGGTAATATCACAAAATAGATATGACCAAGTAAAGTGTGGTTGTACATTAATATCAAAAAACTGAATTAAGCAAATATGTCTGGGTGAATGAGGTCATACAATGATTATGTCTTCAATAAATAAATATGTTATTTTTTATTTTTAACATTCTTGATTTATAATAAAATTTTCTCACTTGTATGCTTATATATTAATTTTGAAAGAATATGCAAAGCTCCTAAATATCAATCAAATTGCAATTTTCTCTAAAATTAGAAGTAACATCAAATACATACTGTGTATTAGCCAGCCTTCCTATGTTAAATTTTATGTCTAACGATCAAAACAGAAACCATAGTAACTGATATTATCTAGTTTAAAGCAAAATTTTCAGTTTTTAGCATTAGAAGAAGCCAATATTTTAATATTGATTTTTAACACTGTTTTACAATAGGTTAGCAAAAAATTTATAAAATATATTAAGTGAGCAATGAGTAAATTTTTATTCCTTAATAAAAAATAAGGTGATATTTGAATTGCTTTTACTACTAAGAACACATTTAAATTCTTGCTCTATGCTTACTGTCTCAGAGACTTAACTCAATAACTTATGGAGGAGGACATCTTTCTTTTTCAGATAATTTGGCAGACACAATGTGTGCTCTCAGTAGGTGATGAGTATGGCATTGGAAAATAAACAAAACATTTATTGACTAATGTTAGAATTAGAGGGGATCTACATTATCCAAATAGATCCTCTGGAAGATTTATTTTTCCTGAGTAAGGAGAAGGGAGAGATATTACAAGACTAAAGTCTTTTTCTGATTGAATTTAAGTTTTCGTTTTTATCTCAAAGGTTCTCTGGGTGATGTAGGTATCTAGTCACTGGCATTGCCTCTTGACAGGATAATGGGACTACATTTAATTCTTTTCATTGTTTATTGGTACATTTTAGCTATACAATATGATGACATTCATTTTTGGGATTATGCACCTGTACATGATAAATCTTGGTTCTTATTTTTTCCCCATTCCCCTGCCTTCCCTTCAACCCTTCCACTTCTCCCTGTTTACAAAGACTTTCTTTACATTTTTCCATATTTTTTCTTTCCCTTCTTTCCTCGCACCACTTCTTCCCCTTTGGGCTTTTTCTTCCTATTTCACATTATCTATTTTACTAAAATATAAATTTTATCGGGCCATTTCTGTGTAAAGCATTCTACTAGGTGCTGGCTGTATTGTGGTGAACAAAACAGACATGATAAGTGCCTTCATGGATTTTATGTCCAGGATAGGGGATAGAAATTACATAAATATACATGCAAATAAATATATAATTATATTATGATATGTGCTATGGAGAAAAAGAACAATGTTATCTGAGAACATAATTGGGACAAATCTAATTTAGAACAGATGGTTGGGAATACTCCTTCTGAGCTAAGGATGTAGCAACTAGCCAGGTAGAATGGAACAAAGTAAAACTGAAGAGGGAAGAGCATACATGATCTATCTGAGGTGAGAATAATATAATTTAATTTAAGAAAATAAAAATACTCTGTGACTGGAGTTTAATGAGTCAAGATGCAATATAGCATCAGATGTGGTTGGTGAAATAGGTAGGAGCTATCAAACAGAACCTTGGAGATAACTTTATGGAGGTGAGATTTGATCTAAGTCCAATAAAAAAGGCTTTGACAGACTTGTGGACATTGAAACAGATACCTTTGACTGATACAGTGAATGGATGGGAGGGAGGCAAGAGTGAAAGGAGGAAGACCCACTGGAATTTGTGCTTCAGAATCTAGATGAAAGATGATAGCAACTTGGATGAACAAAGAGAAAGAAGACATGGAGAGAAGGGATAGGTTAAGGATATATTTGGCTTTTATGCCAAACATGGTCACGGACAAATGAAAATAACTGGACTAGAAAATAGGAATAGAGGTAGAAATTTTCAGTTTAAATTTTATGTTTTAGAGAAAAATTTTACTAATTTTTCCCAGTAAAACCTTTTTGTTGTTGTTTCTTGGAAAGTGACAGACTGCTTTGGTGAGTTATTCCCATGCTTTTATGTTCAAATTGTCAGAAAATATATACTAATCATTTATATTAAATCATATCAATTAATTTACATCAATTGTCATTTATGATAGTTTAAAGTTGTAAATATGCTATATATTAGTATGAAATGAAATCATACTGCTAGAAATGTTTTCAAACTTCCACTTTCTTTTGATACTATGCTTTACTTTCCACTGGAGTCTTTGTGTATTCTGAATGTCTGGAAGCCAAAATATTTTGTTTTTAACTCCTACTCTATAGTATTTCCCAGCTGTGTACTTATATGGTATAATAAAAGGATCTAACAAATGAAAAATAGCAGCTGCATTTGGAAATTCCTTTTGTGTTCCCTTTTCACTAGATAGATTCAATAATGTTTAACAACTATAACATCAGACGTACTCTAAGTATCATATCACCACTTTTTATTTATTGTGAAGAAAACATTAGAAGGGTTTTAGGTTTCTGGGCAGAACTGCAAACCTACATACTGTGTGTGTGTGTGTGTGTGTGTGTGTGTGGTGTGTTTTGGAAGGGAAGGACTGTAATTAATTCAAAATATGACTAACATTTTACCTCTCTGAATTTTAAAATGAATTTGAAGTCCAAAAGAATGGTTATGAAGTGACTTGAAATTTGTAGTTTTCTTCAACGATTCATATCCTTCACTTACTATAATTGAGCTCCGTGTTGTGGAGAAATGCAAATTAAAAGAAAATTTTAAAACTACAACAAAAATATCATAAGCACTATTCAGTTTCTGTTGCTATTTAGTTCCTGTGTTGGCTTTCATTTTGGAACAGTTAGAAATAAGCAGTAAAAGTTTCTTATCTCCTAGGTTCAGGAAGGGGCTTTACTTTGAAATATCAAGACCACATATAGCTTTTCTGTAAGAGAGACTGAGGGCAAAGCAAGAGTTCTGCTAATCCTTTCTTCCTGATTAGAAAAAAAATCTTTATATGTTAAAATTACTTTATTTTGAGATGGTACTCCACCAAAATATGACATCACACAGCCCCAAACAAGAAAAAGAATTCATTATAGCACAAGGATAGGATCATACAAATTTTAGAGACAGGAATTCAAAGACCTATATGAGGTAAAAAATTTTAGACTGATTTTATCTACAGTTATTTATATTGTAGATGCCAAAATGTTCAATTTTAAATATACTGTGCTCTGATAATTATCAACATCCATTACAAACGTTTCATGGTAGAAAAGTTAGTAAATATAAGAATTCATTTACCTTCCCTGTGTATAGCCAACTGCTATTTTCATCACGGCACCAAAGGAACAGTGACACTGCCCATAGAAATATACTTTTATTCTCATTATGACTGACTCATTAGGTGGCAATACATTCACATAGTTTTTTTCATGAAAGATACTTACAGAATGTCATTTTTTTTAATGTTATAAGCATGGTGGAACATTTTTGTGGTAATGTTTAGTGACCTGTATATGATATTGTGTATGTGAGTTTTCTGCTGTAGTTTCAAGTAATACGAAGTACAGTTGAGCCGGTATATTGTTAGTGAATTGTATGAAGACATCCCATCTAGAGTGTTTAATAAGTACAAAGTCCTTTTGCTTGGTGTTATTAAACAACAGTGTCTAGGGAGACAGAGACTGGTATGAGATGAAATTAGTGAGGCAGGCAGAGGTCACAGATAATATGGATTTGGTAGGCGCCAATGTGTTGCTTGACGTTTATTTCAAGAGGAAGCCACTGGAAGATTTTAAATGATAAAGTAACATTGTTTGATTCAGATAGAGTGATCAAATATATGGTGAATGGTTAAATTGGAGAAAATTATTAGAGTATGAGATACACCGCTATGAGTCTTCCTCAGAATACTCCCTCTTGATTTTAATATATTTATCCCACCGTTCTTGCCACTTTCTGAAGCAGTTGTGGACCTTCCCCTTCCCAATGATTGTTTTTACTTGTGCTATCTTGGCTGCTTTTATGTTCTGAAGAGCTGGAAGTCTCATGGTGCCAGATTTGGTGAACAAAGCGGAGGCGGACACATGGTTATGTTTTCATTAGCCGGTCTTTGTGTTGGATAGCACTCAGCAGCTGTCTTCACCACATTTTTGATCACATCTTGAGAAAAATACTCCTGAAAGGATATCTTTCACAAGTGCTTCAGAAAGTGGCAAGATTAATGGGATTTAACGGAGATTAATGGCAATGTGTTTTTTACTGTAATAAATTTTTTGAACTGTAAGCATTTATCTTATATGTATTTTGATCACCCCCGTATGTTTTAAAAACATCACATTGCATGCTGTGTAGAATTGGATTGTGGGCTATACAACAAGAAACAGGGAAAAGAAAAAAAATGAGAAAATGGAAATAAAGTATTTGTAAATAGGGAAGGGAAGAGGGGGTGAAGGGAGGGCAGGGACAAGGGGAAAAATGAGAACCAAGATCTGTCATGTAAAGGTACAAGATCCCAATGATGAATGTAACTGTACTGT